AGCTTGTGATGCAACTCTGGATGGAAGAAACCTAATTACAAAGAAAAATTAATACAAGTTACATATGTGCTGAAAATGACTAAAACTTAGTTATAATAAATAAATTGGAGAATTTAAATTAAATATTACCCTCGACCATAAGGTTCAATCATCGGTCGATCATGTATAGCAGGAACATCTTCTTCAACCTCTGAATCAACATCTACAGTAGGTGAGTGACCTTGAGAGGAGGAAGGTCCTGAGGCCACAATAGGGGATGGAGATGGAGAAGGAGTGGGTGCCACAACTGGAGAGGAGGAAGGTGCTGACGCCACAACAGGGAATGAAGATGGAGAAGGAGTGGCTGCCACAACTGGAGAGGAGGCGGGTGCCACAACTGCAAGAGAGGATGGTATGGGTGGTAAAATAGAAGTGAATGGTGTTGTGAATGGTGTGGGTATAATAGGTATAATGGGTGAAGGGGATGGTGTAGGTCCTACAACAGAGGATGGCGATGGTATGGGTGCAACGGGTGTGGATGATATAGGTGTAATGGATGGTGTAGGTGTAGTGGATGGTCTAGGTGTAGTGCATGTGGAAGGTATATCTGTGGAAACCACTTTCAAAACGTAGCGTGGTCTCTTTTTCTTTGATATCGCCTTCCCCTTCCCTTTATCACTACCAGAGGGTGGGGGTCGAGGTGGGTCAAGACCTCCTGTGGACATATCTATACATAAAAAAATAAGATTATGAATAACTTATGATGTAAAAACTCATATAAATTAAGGGACACTCAGTTAATAACATAATTCATAACAAATAAGGGTACAATATGTTTTTTTTTACAAAATCAAAACATTTATGTTTCTAATTTTCTTGAAACATTAGGCTTCATCCTCATTATCGTCATCCTCATCGTCATCGTCATCCTCTTCCTCTTCCTCTTCCAATTCTTCAGGATTAGCTTCATAGTCATGTAATCCAAATATGCTTTCCACTTCAATGACTTCATTGCCATGTAACATTTCATCTACTTGGTAAGGGGCATCCTCTTCCACACCATCCGAATCAATACGACCTCTTGGTTTTGTTTTGATTGCAACACACCAACCACGCTTGTCTATTTGAAATGATGGATATGGAACATAATACACTTGTCTTACATTATCTGCAAGGATAAATGGATCAAATGGTTCATATCTTAAACCCATTCGAATATCTACAATATTATATTTAGGATCCACTTTTGTACCTCTTCTTGATGGATCAAAGCATTCACAATAAAAAACCACAACTTTTTTGGGAGAATTTGAAGTATTGTACTCCAACTCATATATTTTCATAATTACTCCATAAAAATCATTGTCACCAAACCCTTAACATAAACACCGCTATTTATTGTCTTTTTTCCCTTGCTCCATGCATTTGTATGAAATTTGTATCCATTCACAAAATATGTGTGCCATTCTTTAACGCATCGCATAGGGTGATTGGATAAATCCCTTAGGTCTTGATTCTTCACACTAAATGGCTCATTATGGATCTACAAATATAAAATGAACCAAACATTACATTAATACCTATATACCATATTTAAAATAGAATGGTAATATACATACTTGTTGCCTAAACCATGTAGGAAATTCTGCATGAATCCTAGCAGATGCTTCTGATTCACTTATTTGCTCTGATTGCAAGAATGAGCTGTCCAAATAGAAAATGCTAAAAGGTTACTTTAAGAATGTGACAAAGAATTTAATAATTAAATTGAAAAGATATGTGTTTTGAATGTACTCAAGGTACGGTTTAGCTTCTTGACAATTGATTAATACATGAACATGAGCTGACTTGAATTCAGCATCAATTAACCAATGAGTCAACTCCCGCCCAGATGGACGACAAACTTGTCGGAATACTGATAACACTGACAATTGTGTTTGACTTTGGAAATATATTTCATTTCTAGGTTATCGTGGTGACAACATGAAGTTATTGAAATAATGAGAACAAAAATATGTCGTCTCACGATGCAAGTAAGCTGCACAAATTGATCCTTCAACTTTAGCCTTATTTTTTACCGATCGTTTAGACTCCCCCATGAATCTATACAATTTAAGAAGCAAGATTATGATTGATCAAACTAATCAAAATAACATATAAAACACATATAGGACAATCATTTCATCACCTTTCAAATGGATACATCCACCTATATTGCACTGGTCCACCGAGCCAAGCTTCATACGAAAGATGAATAGGGAGATGTTCCATTGAATCAAAGAATGTAGGAGGAAATATTCTCTCCAACTTGCAAAGAATGATTGGAATATTTTCTTCCATCCTAATAAGCATTTCCCTCTTTAACGTTGTAGAACACAAATCTTTGAAGAAATGACTAATTTCAATAAGAGGATTCAAAATATGTACTGGTAACGCACTAAATGCAATAGGAAGTAAACATTCCATGAATACATGACAATCATGACTTTTCATGCCATGAATCCTGCCCTTTTCAGCATCAGCACATCTTGCCAAGTTGGAAGAATAACCATCGGGCATCCTAAGTTCTTTTAACCAACGACAAACTACCTTTGCTTGTTCAATAGTATACATGTAATTTGCTTTAGGCTTTAACATTTTGCCGTTAGCTTGTGCCTTTAACTCCAAGTCTGGACGCTTACAATACAAAGCAATATCCTTCCTCGCCTTCTCATTATCTTTTGTCTTTCCTTTTACATTCATCACAGTGTTGAATATGTTATCAAAAAAATTCTTCTCTATATGCATTACATCAAGATTGTGTCTCAACAAATTATCTTTCCAATACGGGAGTCCCAAAATATGCTTCGTTTTGTCCAATTATGCCACTCTCCATATCCTTCTATCCTTGTGATACCACACTCAGTTACTTTTGGTAAATCTTTTACTCTTCTCCAAACTTGTGTAGGTGTTAGCCGAGGAGGTGACCCTTCTACTTCAACTTCTCCCTTTCGAAAGGCTTTAATATTTCTTCTAAATGGATGATCATTTGGTAAGAACCTTCGATGCGAATCAAACCAACAACTTTTCTGATCATAATTTAATGTAAATGATTTTTTATGCTCCATGCAATGTGGGCAAGTCAATCTACCATGAGTCCCCCAACCAGATAACATCCCATAAGCGGGAAAATCATTAATTGTCCACATTAAAGCTGCCCTCATCATAAAACTATGTTTCTTTGAAATATCGTATGTGAGAACACCATTCCACAATTTTTTCAAATCATCAATTAAAGGCTCTAAGTAAACATCAATAGAGGCCTTCGGATTGGATGGACCCGGAATTAGGCAAGTTAGAAACATGTATGGCTTGGTCATGCACATTTCAGGAGGAAGATTGTATGGAGTAACAATGATAGGCCAACAAGAATAAGGTGAAGATGAAGCCTAAATATATGGATTAAATCCATCAGAACATAACCCAAGTCTGACATTGCGTGGATCAGCAACAAAAGTTAGATGTTTTCGATCAAAGTGTTTCCAAGCTTCACCATCTGATGGATGACGCAATACATCGGAAGTTTTATTGTCATGGTGCCAAGTCATTTGCCCAGCAGTTTGCATTGATGCAAATATTCTTTGTAATCTAGGAATTATAGGCAAGTAAAACATGAACTTTACTAGAACTGGCTTTTTATGGGTTGTTCCACAACTTTTCTCATGATATCTTTGCTTTTGACAAAATTTACATTGAAGTAATGTAGCATCTTTTTTGCCATTGTCATTGCCATAAAAAAGCATACACCCACTCACACAACAATCAATCTTCTTCACTTCTAATCCCAACTTTGATACTAATCTCTTGACATCGTAATAAGTTTTTGGTAAATTGTCTTTTATAGGTGTGACATCCAACAACATGCGTGTCATAAAGTCTAAACATTGATCAGGAATATTCCAATTTGACTTGCACGCTAAAAGTCTAACACATATTGACAATTTTGAATCTGTTGCCCCCTCAAATAATGGTTTATTTGTCTCTGCCAACAAATTATAAAACCTTTGAATTGCTTCATTTGGTGACTCTTCTATGTTAAGACAATTGGGTCCTTCAAATGATTGATGTTGCCAGAGAGAATTGTACATCATCTCTTGCATTGACATAAATTGGTCTTGTTCAGTCATGTGTACATCAATACATGAACTGCTAACACAAGTATCATCAACATTATTTTCAACTTCAGGCACACGTTCTCCGTGATCTGTCCAAATCCAATAATTTGGTTTGAACCCTTGCTTGTAAAGGTGAACTTTGACCATTTCATCCTTCAAAATTCTTGTACAATCGCATTTGGTGCATGGACATCGAATTCCCCCATCACGTTCGTAATACTCATATTGTCGAGCAAATCTGACAAACTCTTCAACCCCTATAACAAAAGACTCTTTCAAACCTCTTCTATCACTATAACATCTATCATACATCCAACTGCGATGGAAAGAAATACCATCCATGTTCTGTAATATTGAAAAGAATAAGATCAATTGAATGAATTGTGCGAAAGAAATTGACCATTGGATTTTGATTAAACTATGCTCCAAGTAAATCGAACATTGATTAAACATTGGATTCAACATAATAATACTAAGCTACTTTTATGTTGTCAAATCCAATTTAACATTGGACTTTCAAGCAATTAGGCTTGAACAAAAAAGGAATCAGTATACTAAAACATATTTGCAAATATATAAAAGGAAGAATCAACCAGGTTAAATCAAGAAATGTCAATATTCATGAACTCAACTCACCTCACCACAAATAAATCCCCTTTCAAAATCAAGTATGGATAGTCATATCTCGAGAGTCTAGCATGAATTTCTAATTCAATAATTGTTTCATATTTCTACAAAAGTAAACCTCTCGAAATGTTTTCTCGCTCCAAATTGATTGTATCATCAGATCAAATTGCCTTACTTCCTAACCGAGCTCTACTCTGCCATTACTCTTGGTCGGGGATTAAATCAAAATAGCACGTAATCATGGATGTAACCAAAAATGCAAAAAAACTCATTCTTCCAACATGTCCTAATCACCTCTTCTCTTCCCAGAAGTTGACATTCTAATGCTTTCATTATCAAACAAAAGTATTTATGTTATGCCCATTTTTTTCTAAACAAGCATGTCAAACTGAACAAGAGATGAACTGTACGAAGATATATTTTTCTTATCTTACATAGAAAACATATATAGCATTAACTAGTGCATGTTATTTTTTCTATTGTTGTTAAAAGCATATATCACTGAATATAAGAAACATACCGCTGGTGAGGTCACTGAAGATAATGAAAAGAGTCTATCTTCAGGTTGAAACTTTCTTGACATCTTCAAGCTGCCATCAAGAAATATGATTAATCAATGTCATGGAAAATTAAGATGGAGCCAAACTATGATAAAATTTATATCTCAATTAAAACACATGAACACATGCATGAAGAAAAATTAAGTCATCTCAGAGACTCTGATACGACTGATGCTGAGTGGTTGTGACCATCATAAGGTGGTGTGGCACCTGAATTTGGAGCCTGCCGGGAGAGAATCAGGGGAATAAAGTGAATAACTGGCACCATCTCGTTTAGGTTACAAGATATTGTAGATATTAAATATATTTTAGATAGCGGTTAACGTGGAACCGCTATTATAAGTTCACTTTTAAGAGCGGTCATAGTGGAACCGCTATCATATATGTATCACTTTTAAGAGCGGTTAATATTTAACCGCTCTTAAAAGTGAACATATAATAGCGGTTCCATATTAACCGCTATCTAAAATATATTTAAAATTCTAATCGATTATTTCAAAAAGTAATCGGTTATATGTTCACTTTTAAGAGCGGCTAAAATGTTAACCGCTCTTAAAAGTGACACATATATGATAGCGGTTCCACTTTAACCGCTATCTAAAATATCTTTTTGATAGCGGTTACTTCTAGAACCGCTATCTAAAATCTCGATTATAACCAATTATTTGAAAATATAATCGATCATAACGGAGTTAATATATATATATATATATATATATATATATATATATAATGTATAATTATATATTTAATATATATATATATATATATATATATATATTGAAATTAATATATGTAATTTTAATTTATGTTATATATATAATCTTTTTTAAATTAATAATATATTTAGATTTATGGTTAAACGTATTAAAATAATATTTTTAAAATATATTATTAAATATTATATTTATATTATTTGTATGGTAATATCCGATCGGTAAGCACTTCCTCCTTATTTATCGACGGATATATCCCTCGATAATTAATAATTCATGTACCGAAGGATATATCCCTCGGTAAAACCAAATTTCACAACTATCTTAAATCCGTGGGTAATTTCAGTCGGTAATTACTCATTTTCCGACGGTTCTACATCCATCGGTAAATATCCGTCGGTAATTCAGAAATTTCTTGTAGTGTATTTTATAGATTTACTTGGAATTTCTTACCCTTCATCCTCGTGTTTTAAAATTCTCTTTATTTATTTATATTCAAAATTGTTGTCTTGTAATTGTTTAATATAATTATGCATATTAAAATTTGTTTTTAGGGTATATTATATTTTTAGTTTTAGTAACTATTATTGTATATGATTTTGTTCGTGTACTTTTTTATGCTTCAAAAGTTGTATTATAGAGAGTAATAAAATCTATAAAAATTTTGAAGTATTAAACTTAAGTAAAGTTGTATTATAGAGATCAAAAGAGCATCATAAATATTCTATTACTCTCACAATTTCTGTTTCTTTTCCTTTTATTACATAATAACACAAAAATGCTCATACATTATTTTTCATATTCCAAGTATATGTTTAAGAAAGATGTCATTTACATTGCTATTCTTCTCTTTTTTCTTTATATCATATTATCAATCATTAGAATGTGTTTCTCGGTTTTGTTTCGGTTATATTGAAATCTTTTTGTTCTAAAGTTCTTTCTACCTCACGTGTTTACAGACTTGGCTTTCACCCTTTTCTGGACAACAAGACTCTGAAGCCAGGTGACAAACTGTTTGATAAAATCAACAGTGCAATCTTGGAGTCCAAAATAGGGTTAGCTCTGATATCACCACGCTACTGTGACTCCTACTTTTGCCTTCACGAGCTTGCCCTTCTCATGGAGTGCAGAAAGAAGGTTATACCTCTCTTTGTTGACATTAAACCATCCCAATTACGCGTCATCAACAACGGAAAATGGACCCTTGAGGACCACCATCGTTTCAAATTCGCCATTGAAGAAGCAAAGTACACTGTGGGACTCACCTTTAACTCTTCACAAGGGTACATATAGCAATAAAATAGTTCTTTATATTCTTTGCCATGCACCATTTTTCTTGCATAGGTTAACTAGTCCCTTTCAGTGTTATATAATCTGCGTTCCATAACCCTATTTGTGAGTGCAACATCAAGTTTTTTATGATATCCGTTGTGTAAGACTGAGGAATATAGAGGGATATATACATCATAGCCTATAGAAAAGAAAGAAACAAAGTTAAGGGGAGAGAAGTAAAGGCATTAACTTCATTACATTAATTAATTGTTTCATTTCTTCATTTGAGTTTTCCATATATAAGTAGGATTTTGGTAAGTTAAAGGTGGATACATACATTTGTTTTGCTCCTGTAAAACGTAGGAACTTCTCCGATATTGTGACTAGTGCATCTGATATCATCATTGAGAGCTTGATAGAGCTTGAGGATGAAGAGTTGAAGATGCAGCATTCATACTTGCCAATTAGCTAAATTTGAAGAAAAGAAAGACTAATGTGTGGCTCTGCTCCACTGTAACTATTCTTATTTAATTATCAGTAGGATAAAGATCCTTTGTTGTACAAAAAACAGGTACATATATGTGCCTAATCATTATTATTTGTAAATAGCTTGAGTCAATTTCTTGGTCAAAGCTGCATTTATGGATTCTTTATAGAGTGTATCGATACATTGAGAAGATGTACATAAATATTTGTGTAAATTGTTCAAATTTACTATTCTTAGTGTTCAATTGTTGTATTATGACTTGAAAACAAATTGTATATTTGCATGGAATATATTATGAAATATGAGAGCAATTTGCCTTTAATTCAATCATTCAATTTTTGTTTATATAAAAAAAAATGTTGAAGTTTTATAGGAGATGTTAGTTAGCATTAGAAAAATAAGTACAATTTTCTCTTAATTTAACTAGAATATGTTTAATACATTAATTTAATTACCTTAGTTACTATATAAAATATAATTATGCATATATGTGAATTAAGAAAATGAAATAAAAATTGATAAATTTTTGTAGGAAAAATAACATAATATTTTGCTACATGACATCTTCAATAAATTATTAAAAAATTGTGATTTGAAAAAATTATATAAGACAACTTAGAACAATTCAAAATATAATATTTAAACTCATCTTCTAAAGTACATTAACTTGTATTTGTAATTAAATTGAGTCAATGAGATCAATCACATAAAGAATAGGGTTTGTTTTCCCTTACATGAATGGGGTAAAAAGGCTAATGCACTAGCAAAAGATCACATGGGCTCAACTATGTGTAGACTCTTTTCAACCCATGTTCGTAGCCAAAATGTTGAACCACAAAAACTTACTTTTGCTCATGCTCTTCTCTATTTAACAAACTCACTTTCCTTTTAACACATCATCGATTCCACCACAATTAATGCGATGCGTTTTTTTTCCCACCAACTTTGTCTTCAACCAAATCTTATGAACCATTTCCCTATTAAACCCAAACAATACTTTAATGAATGGAAGAATCAATTGCCTTTTGAATTCAAACAACTGTTTGAATAAAAGGTTGGAACGCACTAAACTTAACTTTAGGAACAACTCAAAAAATTTCAAGTGACATTACATTTTTAATTGATTATCATACAATTTAATTGAATGGACAAATAATTTATTAGCTTTGCGAGGTTTATCAAATCATATATAAAATAATCAATGTTATATATGTATTTAACATAATCTATCATTCAATCTATTGATAAGCTTTTCAACTCAAACATAACATAAAATAATCAATTCTTTTAGCATATAATTTATTAGTTTGAAAGAAAGGCACGCCAACATTAGAAAAATTACAAGAAAATGAAATTTCTCTTTAGTTTAGATTCTTTCTAAATACTTATTTTTATGCTAATTTCGTCCTAGATAAAGAAACAATTGTGAAAGTGAGCGAATCGACTCATACGAATGGTTTATCATGAATTATGTTAAAAATAAGTTGACTTAAATCGCCTTATATTATAGTGAGTTAAAAATTTTATAATACAGTTTAACCCATCACAAATTAATGGGTTAACTTGATTGATCCATTTAAATATGTGTCTTTTTTTATTTTTTTATCTTTTTAATTTACTAAAATAGGTGTGTTGACTTCCTAATATAGGTGAGTTAATTCACTACAATTTTTTTTATAGATATAACATATGGATAGAAAACATTAAAATATTAAAGATTGAAAAAAACATATCAATTGAGCATTAGTCTTGCATTTAACCTATGAATTAAGTGAGTATGACTTGTTTTAATTCACTATTAAAAGTTAAAATTTTTTTTTAACCCAATTTAACTCCACCGTGATAAACTAGGTTTACTCAACCCGATATTGACACCTCTAGATAAATATATTTGTAGAAAAGAAAAACATAATAAGCCTTATTATCATTGGTGAATATATTTTCTTATGATTGATATTGTGTTGGTATGATTTAAGAAGTAACTTGTAAGGAACATAACAATCTTAAACCATTTAGGTCTTCCTGATGAAGCGGTTCGGAGTGCAATTCTTACTGATCTTATTTTTTTCTAATAAAGGGTTGAACTTCATGACCAAGTTGCGTGTTATGGAATGAATATGATAAAAATCATCTTAAAGTGTAACCAAGTCTATCATCACCCTCTTCTCAAAACACCCATTCATGCTTCAACTATCAGACCTTATGCTGGGTGCACATTCAGAAATGAAATAATTAACTTTATACATTATAACCATATACTACTAGAAACTTTTAATTTTTATGGGATTTTTTTAATCAAATTTTTGTAAAAATTTACAAAAAATAAGTTTCTTTGGAATTTTCATATCAATTTTTATTAGCACGGAGTTAGCTTGTGAAAAACAAATTATTCAGGGATTTAATATTCACAAAAAATTTCTACAAAATTTTGTGTGAAAAATTTCGTAAGTAATTTTTTACAAATTTAAATTTATATATAATTTTTTTAATTTAAATTTACATGTAATTTCTTGCTATTTAAATTTGTATGAAATTTCTTACCAATTTAAATTTGTATGTAAATTTTTGCAATTTTAAATTTACAAATATTTTTTGGTAATTTTATATTCGTAGGAAATTTCTTGGTAATTTTAAATTCGTAGGTAATTTCTTATGAGGTTATCTTTTTAAGAAAATTTACAAGATTTTTTATATAAATTTGAAATTATATATATATATATATATTAATTGACAAAAAAAATATTTATTATAAATTTTATTTTATTACATAATTAACTATTATAAAAAAAATTGTTTGTTTATTTGGCTAAAAACTAAGCTAAAAACAAAATTAACATGAAATTAAAAAAAAGTATTTAGTCTTACATCAACATGATCCTTATGAATTTTAAGACAAAAAATAAATAAAGTAAAATACTATTCATATATATAAATGTAATTATTACAAATTTTCACAGCGACAGACATAATAAATGGTAAATAATTTGGGGGCAGGAATGGAGATTAGAGATTAACACTATTTTCATTTTTAGTATCTTGTACTAATGTTTTTGAAGTTTTTTACTCAATAATGAATTGAACTAGTCTGTACCAAATCATTCCTTCACTACCAAAAAATATATACACAGAAACAATTATTTACAGTTTTGAAGTGAAGAAACTCAATTGTCATAAAAAGGTTCAGAATAATGAACCAGCTACTTATTTCATCACCAAAAGAGTAATACAGTCCATGTCATCAATGACGTTGACCCATAACCTGAAATGAAATACAATAATACTTTAATCAATTGGAAGCCATGCAATAGATTACATATCTTTATTTATTAAGACATCAAGAACCTCTAAGGCAGAGCTATCGCAACATAATCTTACACTTTCTACTTTTGTTTCACAGCATCAAAGTAAATCATTGTTATTGTCAAAATCACATCATATCTTTAATTCCTTGCAATTTCATTATCACCTTCAATAATTAAGTTAAGTGTTATAATAACTCAAGAATAAAATTTTAAATATTACCATCTTCAATATGATCATTGTTTTCATCATCATCATTTTCATTGTTATGTTGAGATGATGAAGATGTGTAGGAAGAAGATGCAACAAATCCTAAGTGTTGCATTAAGGCTGCTACTTGATTCTTAGTTTCAGTCAACTCTTTTTTCATTTTTTGTTTATATTTTTTTTTGTCTTTGTAACTCTTGTCTCATTTCTTGTTTTTCTTGTTCTTGCCTGTGTAATTATTCATTTAAGGCTTGAATTTGACTCCTTAAAGCATCAACATTTTTAAAATTTGACTTTTAGTTGAAGATATGATTAACATTTTGCCTAGAGATCCAAGACCAAATATTATTTCCTTTTTTTTTTCAACTGAATTGATCCATATATCCAAATTTGATGGCATTTGGCTCATGGATTGTTCACCATCAATTGCATCCTCCCCAAAACTGTGAGATAATAACTCATTTTTTTTTGTTCAAATTTCTTCAGCAAATGAAAAAGGTACTTAGTGAAAATATATAAATAACAAAAGTAAATGAAAAATGCTCAATCTTTTAAAATATTTTATCATTCTTTCAAAATAAAGAAATGAAATAGCAGTTTTACATCAATTGGTGAAAATGTATACAATATTAAAACATAATTATATATGTGTGTGTTAAATAAATACATAAACTTTAATTCTAAAAGCTCTGACAATTCTTTTTATCTTTGATCAACATTTCTATTTGGTGTAGATGATTTTCAGTGACACTATATACACTAGGAGTTATTGATTTTGATTTGCACAGGTAATAAACTTTGGAACAGCCACATAGAGCCTTAACATCTATATAAATGGGTTGAACTCAAACGTACAATAATATGGTTCTACAAAGACAATTTTTACATCAACCAACGTAATAGATAACTACTTTGATATTTGACTTTGTGCTTATCACTACCAATGTGCTTATCAAATTGAAAACTTACAAAAGCAATTTTGGCATGAGGACCAACCTAACTTTGATCCTTCTTTCTCCGATGTGTACAAAAATAAAACTCAGTCAATGATGGATCTATTCCTTTTTCCTCTTTATGATAACAAAGAAAGTTTAATGTTATTAATTATAAAATGTAAATTATAAAAAACAAAATAAAGTAATAATAACATTCTCTTCCAATGTAAGCGATGAGGTATTGATCCACTTGTATGAAGAGATGTACCATCCAAAACTACCCAATTTCTATTATTTGTTTCAGACTTTTTTTTAAAACTTGTAGATTCCCAATGTGTCTTTAATTGTTCCCACACATCCTCTTCCATCCAAATGAGTTTTTTCTCTAGATCTTTTCTAACATCTTGCATTAATTGAGACATTTTAGATGCACCTCTTCTCTCAAAGTCCATGACCAGGCACATTGCATATCTTCACTTCAGTTGACTTAGGAATGTTAGATACCATATCCCATACTTGTTCAACACTTAATCTAGGAGGAGA